ATAGGATCGCCAGCAGTTACAACGAAACTAACGTTTAATCAACGCTTCAACTGTCAACTGACGAGGTTCTGTCAGCCAGTATTGGCTAATACTTTAGTTAGTAACTGGGCCCAAGTTATCCAGTACTGCGCCACTAGTTTGCCAATACTGCGCCAATATCTGAACTGTGGCAATCAGTTATTAATGGCCCAACACTGGACCGACTCTGTATGGAAAACGCTACATGGAAGTGTAAATTAAATGAGTCTTATAGATCTAATGATAGTAACTGTGTTACAAATTTTGGTGTCATCGCCGCGCCGAATCGAAGGTAAAAAAAACTTTTGCAGTAAACCTATCGGAAATAGCTTTCAGTCGTAAATATAATTGAAGCCATTTGAAAAATATTTCTTCCAATCTAAACTGTTAAATATCAAATGAGAGAATATCCCGATTCATTGAGTTAAATAACATCTTGTTATTTTCAATTTCCATGTTTGTCAAAGTGTAAATCAGTTCATTTTTGTATAGTTGAATTATCTACATTTCTTGAGTTGATTGTTTAACTCTATATGTTTTTAATTAAATTAATGGATATATTGAGTAAGAGCAGTAGCAACCTATAGAAATGATTAAAAATTACTCCAACTGAGTATAATTTTTTTTTATTATGAATTTAACAATACGTGACATGCCTTGCCAGCAAGAGCAGAATCGATCAGAGTCAGCGTTAATTAATTTCTGCCAAGGTCCTAAATTCACTCGCGCGACACCGCGACACCGACGAGGGGGAAAAAAAAAATCGACTTCCAAATTCGTCAAAGGGCCAGTCGTGAAAATTTAAAGCGATAGAAGCGGTGCTCTCTGTAAACTCGCGAGAATGAAATCTATTTTTCACCTAAACGAATAACGCATTTACGTCTCTCCCATCCAATCTCTCTTTTTTTTTCCTTCCCTCTCTTTTACGACACGCGTCATTCCCTTTACCTCCCCCGCGAAAGTTCGCCATGTCTGTCGCGGCTTCAGCCGCGTGAAACGACGGGAATTCGCTTAATGCGCTTCGCGCGGAAACCACGTGAGCTATTCGCAGCACACTTTACAGCCTCGCGAAGGGAAGCCGCCGGTTCGCGATGAAGTAACGAAGAGAAGAAAAAAAGAGGCCGATGATAAGGGGAATATTTTTACCGGGTATCCTCTTACCCTTCCTTTCTCTACGTCAAATGGGCTGGTCAGTTCCGGGATGGCTACTTATATCGAAGGGGGATGCACGTGTGTTCGCAGCATGCAATTCGTAAACGTGGCGCGGTGTAATCCAGTCATCACATAACGCGATTACGCTTCTAACTTGGCCTGTCGCTTTGTCCCTCTCTCTCTCTCTCACTCTATCTATCTATCTATATATATATATTCTGTCTCTCTTGTTTTTATAGAATATCTCTTTCTCTTTTTTCCGTCTCTCCACTCTCACCTCCTGTCGCAACTCGACCATCCCTGGAGGCCGAGTAGCGCAGAACCAGCGGGATGGAAAGCTGTAGTCGGGTATGCGGGTAGTTACGTGGCATTAATAACGGGTTGGAGATCTTCGACGAGCGGGTGTCATTATTTTTTCTACCCCGGATAATGGAAATGTCTATTATCGCTTCGCCTGCCATTCGTGATGCGATGAAGAGGCTTGATTTAAGAAAAATAATTCGACATTAATATTGAAACCGTATTAATATGGTGGTCCTCTCAAAATGATTGTATAATTATAGTTATTTGAATCATTTTTTGTGGTAATTTCAATCGTTTTTGTGGTTATAATAATTGTAATTATAGTCATTTTCGATTGCCAATTATATATATTAATCGGTTGATAGAGCTACACATATATTGTATTAACTCAGTCTAGTAACGCCGTTACCGTTACAGTTATTTTTTTAGTAACTGATAATGTTACTAAGTAACTGATAGCGTTATATGTAACGAATTGCCTTTTTCTTTGGTAATTATAACGTAATAGTTACATTTTTAGTTTTAACAAATTTTACAATTACTTTTATTATTGTTATTTTTTTATATTTTAAATCCATTTATGACATAAATAATGTCTTCTAATGCCTTCTATTATATCCTTAAACATCGTACATATCATATAAATCGAGTCCTTCGAAAAAGCAGATCAGTATCAGGACTATCAGGTTGCTCTTCGCTCTAATAAAATGAACCGCAATGTTCATAAAACGTTGGTATTCTAATAATGGATCTAGATACAGAGATAACCGCAAAACGCGCTATAGCTTCTGTATAGAAAGTATCTGTGGAAGCAATAAATATTTCGATAAACATTTGTTACGCGTCTTGAGATTCAGCTCGATCATTTCGACGCATCCTAAACAATAATTGCTTTTTAAGTAACAATATAATATATTACTTAGAAAATCAGTAACTATAAGTGTAGTTACTTTTTTATTTGATAACCATTAACGGTTAAAATTAGTTAGTTTTAAAAAGTAACTTTCCAATCCCTATTATGTCTAACATTGTAATAATAATTATTATTATAATAATATATAATTATAGTCACAAATATCAGAAATTTTTCTCTCAGTGCACATTTATAATACCTACGAATATTTTGATGAGAGATATTTCGATATTTTCAATTAATTTTAATCTGTTGCAATTATACAGATCGTTTTGATCTGAATGCATACACATTTATTATTTTATTTTATTTTGTATTATATCATTATTTATTTACTTCTTTAAAAAAAAAAAAAATAATCGCTCCACTGTCCATGACGGGAAAATTCATCGTAATTCTCCATTAGCGTTGAATCTATTTTTAAACAGCCATTTTCGTAATTTTTAAGACAACTGGAGTAATTAATCATTCTTTAAAACTGTACTTAAAATTACGCTGCGTAGGGCGTGAAATAAAAATGAAATGAATTAAAACATCAAGAAACGATCAAATATTTCTTATAAATTTCTCAATTCGAAAAATGGCAGCATTTATTGTGAAAGCACAAGTAATATACATATTTGTTATAAGTATACTGTTAAATTTATAGAGTCAAATTTAATCCAATATTATTGCCACTGCTCCTACTAAATATATTATTTTTTACTAAAACGATAATTAAATTTGATATTATATCATGACACTGTATTATCAAGTTGACACTATATAGTGTCAAATCTAACCATTGTTTCAGTATAAAATAACAATAAGATTGAGTAGGAGTAATGGCGACTCACGTTAAGTTAAATTTGCCCCTATAGATTTAACAGGGTAGGTATTAGTTTCCTACGACAATTTCATAATTTTCATGAATTATTGAATACACTAAGAGAAAAAAATGCGGTGTCATAGATGACAACTATATCTTACTTTTATGTAAAAATAAATAATTATAATGATTATCATAAATAATTATTATAATGACAATTTTATTGTTATTATTATTATATAATTATTATATTTTTATCTGTTTTATACGTTTTATGTGTAAAATTAATGTATACACATACATATATAGTTGGATAAAATATTTTATAGTTATAATAACTATAAATAACTCTCTCTCTCAACTATGTATATTAATTCTATACATAAAGCTTATATACAGTTGTCATGAATACATAATACGCATATAACTGCTATTCTTTTCTCTGAGAGAGAGAACGTTATACTGAGAGAAAAAATATGGTTGCAATATATAATATACTGCAATTATAATTTAACTATAATTTATGATCGTCATTTTGATGCCATCTATTAGGTGTTGGAATTAATTCGTAGCGTTTTACAAGTGATGGGAAGTACTTTCATTAATGTATTTTTTAAAGCTCATGTGAAATAAATAACATTCTTTCATTAAAAACGCTACGAATTAATTCCAACACCTAATATATGTATGTATATTTTTTGGTGGAATTATAAATCTAATTATTATTATTAACATTATAGCAGTAATAACTGTAAAAATCCTAATCAATTTTAATTTTATCATGCAATTACATATAATCACAAATATCAATACTTTTCTTTCAGCGTAGTAGAAGAATCGAGATTAAGCAATAAAAAAAAATATAATATTACATAATGAAAATGCTAAAAACCGACAGAAAGAATACATATGAAACAGAGGAAGACGATGTCAAGCTGTAGAAAAGATACATTTTTTACAATGTAAACCAAAATTACGTTACTCTGTGCGTCACAAAGTAAATCGCGTAATAATAAGACAGTGCTGCACAGATTTGCGAGCTATTAATCGATAAATTCTAATTTTCCCTCGATATTCTAAAGCGACATCCCCGAATGAAAATTGGGTATTAACATCTCAAAATCCACTTTTTCCTACTTTCACTTTTAAATCCGTAGGAAAATTCAGTGAAAAATTACGTCAATATTAATTTTGATATAAGACATTTTTACGTTATCCCCATCCGATTGTTTTAGATTTTGTGCCTTCAATCTTGCCAGGCGTCATGACACCTGGATATTAAAATTCTAAATTGTTATTATTCTCACATTATTTCCCCTAACTATTTTTGTTTCATGAAGGATTACGCTCAGGATAGAATCTAATTGTTATGATTCTAAATCCGTGTTCTCAATTGTATTTAAAATCATGTTTTAAAAAATGGACTCAAGGGTGGCAACGTTCGCGAGGGACTCGTGAGCGTGCGGACGCGCGCGAAGGACGAGGAAGGGCCAACGCGTTCTGCGAAGGATCGCCATGGACTCGCGAGGGGGAAAAGAGGACAGGTTGGGATAAACGCGATTTACACCATGACGACTATCGCCGCTCTTCTCGCGCAAAGTGCCTACGTGCAGCCGCGAAAGGGCGTGGGGTGGAGAGAAAAGGGTGAGAGAAATAGCGAGCGAATGAGAGAAAGAGAGAGAGGGGGGAGGGAGGAGGGAAGAGGGAGAAAGAGAGTTGTTACGACACACCGGCAGGTGACAAGAGATTCTGCTCGCGGGAGGACGGGCTGGGGTGGCAGGGAGGGCTGGAGGGCGAGAGGGATGAAAGTAGGGATGTTTGTCGTACGCGTTATTTGGCCAATAAAACCACGTGGCGGCGCACGGAGGGCACCGGCGTCGCGCCGTTCGCGGATAGACGATCGTCGGGGAGCGCCGAGCCGGCCGCGCGAGGCGACGACGGCGGCGAGGGTGCGAAGGGCAAGCGCGCGGATGAAGAGAGACGGGAAGCGGTGCGCGACGTGCGTAAACCACGCCTCGCCGCCTCCTCGGCGCACGCGCGGTTCCGCCTATCGTCGTACACGCTTCCCGTCGTGCGGCGTCCCGCGACGGAACGTCGGTCGTCCGCGACTCCACCGCGGCCGCGACACGTCGTCGTCACGCGACGCACTACCAGTTTGGAGATTCTGTTGCCTTGCGGTTAGCGTGACGGTATTCGAAGCAGGTAAAGAGAGAAAGAAAAGCGAAAGAGAGAGAGAGAGAGAAGTCCCCATCCTGTCGTTTCCTGTCGCAGTGCTCACCGCGTGTCCATCTAAGAGAGAAACGACAAGATCAAACACCACGTGAAGTTGATTATCTTGCCTCCATGGAGGCTTCTGACTTGAACTCACGAAAATTAAATTGTGTAACTTTGACCTTTCTGTAGAAAGTGGGAGATCCAAAAGAGAGAAGAGAAAGAAGCTACTATTCTACTCGACTCGACTGATGCATCAAAATTTGAGCTTGGATTTCACTTTGGTTACGTGAATGTCCGTTGAATGTCTGTCGCTCCGAAGAGGATCCTGTAGAGATTCACGTTGTCTTAAAAACACATAGGAATTCAATCGTTCCCCTCTTACGCGAAAGTGTTATTCGAACAGACGGAAAACGCATCCAGTTTCTACAAGTGTTTCTATCAACTTTGCGCCACTTATCGGAATCCCTACGATACGCTTCGTTTTGAATACCTACTGACACACTGATAATTTTCTTGCACCATCAATATCGCTCGCAAGAATATCGTGAACTCTCATCAAGTTTCATTTCGCGTGTGATAGTCAAGTTCCCACATGACAGAAACGGAACTCTCGGCTGTCACTCTCGGCAGAAATTCGACGTGCTTGTACGCGACGTCTTGCGATCGTATCTCGTGATCGTATTGTCAGTATAGTAACGTCAGTAGTACGTCAAATTCGTCTTTGCGAGAGCACATCGAGTGTATCTTTTCCGAATTGTTGCGTTCCTAAGGTTAAACGCGGAACAGTGATCTGACACCGCGATACACCGGAAGATACATCGCGAAGCTAACGTGATTTCCCGCGGGTCGAACCGACCCGTAGCGAGATTTGCGGAAACACGCATGCGGAGTTAAGGACAAAGTCAGAAACAACGACACGAGGTTGGGAAAGTGTGGCGGGAAGTGGCGGGATCGGCGTATCGATTGGAGATCGGAGACGGGCACTCTCCAGAGCGTCCGTCGACCGGCTGATAATCGCGGGGAGAGGGGGTCCGCGGAGGTGCGGAAGAGATCGGGAAGGTGTTGTTCAGTCACGAGTCCAGGATTCTCACCCCCGGAGGCAGTGCCATCTCGCCCGGGGGCGCGGGGCCACCCGCGAGCCCATCGCCGGGACACTATCATCCTCCTACGCACAGTCCGCCCCTGGTCAAGGTAAGCTTCTTGTTTTGATCGGGGATATCGGGGGGAAAAAATCCTACTAGGTTTTTTAACCAAACTGCCCTGAAACCTGACCTGCGAAATGCGTTGAATGCGTTTGAATGAGCAAGAAGTCAATCAAAGAAATTACTGCATTTATAATTAACTAAGAAATAATGCCCATATCGGTGGAAGCTGGATTTTGAGTGCTTTGAATAATTTCATGTAAATACCACATTTGTAGTCTTTCGAATTGCGCGCCGAATTGGTTTTTCGTACTTGGAAACGCAACTGAACTACTATAGTAATATTACAAATTAAATTGACGAGCAATTTAATAATTTGATGCTCAATAGGCGTTCATTAAAGAGATCTTAATATGCTGGAAATCTGTAAATAAATTTATTTATTGCCAAAAATATTACCTCACCGAGATCTTATGACTAGTAATATTCTTCATAATAACCGAATATGTAAGAATATGCGCATTTTTTAGGCAGCGCGTATAAACAATAATAAACGATTTGTTAAAATGACGCCAATCGAGCATTATATTATTAAATTACTCAATTTTTTCTATCGACGAATAATGTCGATTGCGAAAATGATTAATTTTTATATTGTAAGTAATGTTTTTGTCCGAACGTATTTTTTACGATCGCTGAACTTAGCCATAATTTTTTAACAATTTTTAAAAAGTGTTTTATCAATCCTAAGTATTCGATCTTATAATTATACGATAGTTTTTAATAATAACTTTTTGTTTGTATTTAATGTTATTACTAATGCAGTAATACACATATATATTTATTTTTACTCGATAATCATGATTAAATTATTCAGTAACATGCATTTTTCATCGAAAAATACAAAATAATTCCGATTGCGATGTTTACGAAAATGATTTTTTGCGTGTATTTATTACGGTTGAATTTAGCTACGATTTTTTAATGTGCGTCTCACAATTCTGAATATTCTGAATATTTGATCTTATAATTATACAATAAAATAATAGCCCTTTGGCTCATTATACGTGTACATATTCAACGTTGTCATACTAGATATTATTAAATCTATTTCGCGAATACTCTGAATAAATGAATGAAACACGAGTGCTATTATATATATTTATTAAATTATTCATTTTATCAGGCTGACAGATAACGAAGAGATTGAAACAATTGAATAATAGTAGCATGATTACAAGCAAGAGCATTGTTTTATCTGTAACTAACGCATTTCGGACGTCCGGCTTTTGAAACAATATACATACTTATCCGCATGGGATTATATTCAAGGAAGTTTTTCTAATGAGCAATATTAATTAACACTAGAACTGCCATTTTGTCTCCGTTAATCATTTCAATTTTTTTTCTTCTTGTATTAAATTACACAGAATACAAATAATTTTAATGACTAAATACTCTTTCCTAATCGAAAACAAAGATACAGGAAATTATCAAATTGATAATGGAAAATGTAATTTAAATTCTAAGGGAGAAATCTATTTAAAAAAAATGAGAACAACTTTTATTCCGGATAACAATTGATTATTTCTCATAAATCGTGAGCTAAATTAAATAATTATTAAATGCATCTTGTTCATTTTGGTTCAACTCGTGCACGCGCGGTTACATTTTACATGTAACTAACGCCTTAACGATAATCGCGCTGCGAAATTATTAATGCGCCAGAGGTTTAAATTCGATCGCTGTTTCAAAGTCGATTGGAATTGTCCTGTCGCATTTAAGTGGCCTGCTAGGGTAGAGCGGATGAACGTAATGAGTGCCATAAAACGCATTTATGTCATCATGTTAAATAATGAAGACAAATGTGATATCGATATATTTCTTTTGTTCTTCGCGCTTTGCTTAATATTGCAATATTTCTTTAATATAATATCATTTTACATCTCATTTTTCATTGTATTTATGAGATTAGTATTATTCGTTCTCTTTTATATTTTTTTATTTTTATATTTCGAAAAACCCTTTGCAAAAAGATTTATTTATCCATCTTACTTATATACTACGCTATTTTATATCGCGTTCACGCGGGACTTGCATCGCATTCGACTGTCGTATGAGTCAGAAAATTATGTTAAAAATAACTTTCGACTATCATCAAATTATTTTAAAATTAACTATTAAGTGCCGTATGCGAACTAGTACGTGACGTAATAAAGCTTTGAGTAGAAAATTGGTGCGATTTGTTCCCCGTTCTATTTTCCATAAATAATTTGCGATGCGATTAATGTACGTGTGTAATCATGTATTGAGATAGAGTACGAAGACTACCGGGATATTCGAAATTAAAAATGATAAAAAAATAGGCTCAATAGTAGTAATGACTACATTTCATTCTGTGAAGGAAAAAGAATTATTTTGATCCAGTTGTTTTTTTTTTTGTGACTTTATAGAGATTATTCAAATATTGAAACATCGGAAGTTATTAAAAAATATGCAATCGCAGTGAAACGCTATAAATAATGTATATCGAAGTTAAACAGATTACTTTGCCATTTGGCAAAGAATTCAAGTTGATTTTTATACAGACATTGCGAGATAAATAGAAGTTGGCAGCGTTCAGTATTGTTACATTATTTTTGAAAGAGAGACGTAGGAACCTTCAGATGGGTCTCAAATGATAGCTATAGTTGGCCACTGGATACAATGCTCCATTTAAAGCCTGTATTGTTAAGAGTAAGACCCTACGTATATCTGTTGAGAATTATGCGCTTAAATTATCATGGCGGAAACTTGTCAGCGATCACATTATAATCCAGGGATATATATGGCAATTACGGCATTAGACCCGGGTAGCCGATAATTCCGTTTTAGGTTCGAACTAGACTTTGCCCTAATAGGATTAGAATTTGCGGCACGTTCAGGTGACCGCGCGTTCTGTTCTAGACGTGCATCATCGATACTACTATATATCAACTATCAGGTTACACATATTTAATTCTGAATTTTTTTTTACATAATGTACACAACACGTGATTGGCGTACAACATGTAATTAAAATGTCTAATTTTATTAAAACCCGAGATTCGTCCAAAATTCGTCTCTTTTTTCCAACATATATCTCCTCCACTTCAAAAGTGACAAGTAAAAAAATTAAACAATAAGAATCTTATTGGATCGTACATTTAAAAATTCAACAAATAGGAAACAGGAAATAATGACCATAACGACTGCAACGGTATTTTTCGCAATAAATAAATTTACAAATCCAGCATATTAAGATCCTTTTATTAGATGTCTATTGAGCATCAAAATTTAATTGTGATATTATTTCAGTAATTTAACTGTGTTTTTTAATCCGATAAAATTTCGGCGCACAGTTTAAATGACTACAAATATGTTTGTACATATATATAATATTATACAAATTCACATTGAATTATTTAAACATTAAAAGATTCAGCTTCGATCGTTAGGTATGGCCATTATTTTCTATTTTCTAAAAAAATTAAGACTTTTAGAAAAAGGGAAACTGTTTTTCAACTTGACAGAATAAATTATTTACTAATCAAATAATATTGGTGAAAAAAATATGTTCTTAATATGTTTAAATGTCTCATTTTTGTTTCACAATTGTTAAAAAATCATTCTTTATAATGTAATGTTGTGACAATTTAAAAAAATTTTTCTTTTTAAATTGATAATTTTGACAATTTTTTATGAAGTTAGGTTAATTCGCTTTTGATGATTGTGTGTATATGTGATAGGGTAATATTTACTTATTTATTCGTAATAACTCGAAAATCACGTTTTTTTAATTGTGTCACTTTTGAAATAAGAGAGTGATATATTAAAATCAGTTATTTTACATGAATTAATAATTAATATAGCAATTGTATATGGAAATGAATATGACATATCAATAGTTCTTATTAAACGGTTGATCACAATTTTAGTTACTAATTGAAACATCATTGTAATGTAAAGATTGTAATGTAAACTGTATACAAATATATTACAGAATGTTTCATTTATATCGCGCATTATTTTCAAAAAATACATTTTCTGACCAATTTGAAATTGATTTTTTTAAACATAAAGATAATAGTTTTTATTCAATAAAAATTGAATTAGTATCGATGTTATTCGATCAATAAGACCGCACTTCCCTCACTATTAATTATATAACGATTAGAAAGATTCGACGGCAAAGTGACGTGAATCAATTTTCGCAGAAAACAGGTCTTGTATAATTGCATTGTACTTATAACTTTTTTTTCCTTCTCTTTCTAATAAACGTTTGTACGTCAGAATGAAGAAAAACTAACTTATATCACTATGCCGCGTAACTCTTTAAATCCGCCTAAATGAAATATCAACTTCCGTTCGTCGCTACTCGGCCGAGCGTAATTCTCTTCCTTCGTTTTATCGGCGACTTTCAGTCCCGTCGTTCCGACATGTCCCGGATTTTCTGTCCCTCTTTCTCCCTCTCTGCGTTACTTCCGGAATCAAGTGCGATCTCGGAATTTGACGCGACAAGCGCAATACGATATCGTCCTCGGAAAAGCGACTGCTCTTTATGGTCACGTAATAACTGCGGGACTGCCGCTGAGAGCGGAGAGGCAGGAATAGCGGGGAACGGTTTTGCGAACCGTAAGGGAGGTAAGGGAGGAATAGAGGTAGAGCGAAAGCGAGAGAGAGAGAGAGAGAGAGAGGGAGAGGAGAGGTGGATGGACGAAGAAAAAGAGGCCGACGATGATGATGGGTGTAAGGGCGGCTGTCCGAGCTCGTTTTCGTCAGCCGCCGCCGCCGCGAATCCCTCCGGGGACTCCACGCGGCAGCTGTCTACGAACTGCCGGAGCTTGCCGTTGGAGAAGCCCCGGTCGAAATTTAACGCGGAACGATTCTTGGTCCATGCCCTGCTCCGCTGGACTGCACCATCTATGATATCGTTGATAAAAAAAAATATGAAAGGAAAGAAGATGATAGGGATAAAAGATAAACACATCCGGTATGTGTGTGTTAGATAATAAATTAAGTATACAACCT